GGGGTGGGGGGGTTGTGTGTGTGTGCCTTGATGCAGTTTACTTGGCATCTGAAAATACATTTCCTCAAAGGCATTTTTAATCTGAAAAGAGCTTCACTGAGTGAGAACTAATGCTGAGAGCTCAGCAGACAGTTTAAGTTTCACTTTCACTTTCACCCGAAAGCATGCAGGAGTCATGTGCTGGGTGTGTGGGGAGAGGGGTGGTACGCTCTGCCATGAGGAAGTTCGGCTTAAAGACACGTCCCAGGGGCGTTTCTGGTCCCCACCTGTCATTTTGCTCCTCAGCATGGCTTCCTAAAAACACTGCAGGATTTCTCAAACATGCATGAATGAGTCAAAGCAAGGCTTTGGGCATGTTTTTTATGAGAGTATAACATTATAACATGATATAAAACTCAAAAAAGTTGATTTTACATGATATTGCCTCTTTAAAGGTAATTCTAATAGATTAGAGAGAAAGAAGTTGGATTATTTAAGTAAACAACAGGCTAGCATGAGCTAATATGCTTTACTTTTTGTATTAGTAGTATTGATCGTGTTTTTGCATACAAATTGGTTTCTGTGGTGAGTAAAAAAATCAAACAAACAAAAAAATTTTCTGTTATGTTTGGTCACATTTTCAAAGAGCCACAGCAGAGGGACCAAAGAGCCACATGTGGTCCCAGAGCCGCAGGTTGCAGACCCCTGTCATAGAGGATGAATACAAAGACAGAAAAAGAGCCTCAAGGAGGAGCTCAGAACAAATGCACGTTTTAAAACACAACAATAAGACAAGAGGAAAACAGAAGAACCACAAGAGAAAATATAACAACAATTAAAAAGCAACAAATTATAATAAAAAGGCCAATTTGACATAGACCATTAACTGGTTCCCTGGTCCGGCTGTATGCACCACTTCAAACCTCTTAGTTAGTATTATGCTCCTCCTGCATTTAGTTTCCTCAGAGACTAAATGGAGACTAAAGTTGTTGGGGTTAAATATGAGGTCAGCCACCTCGTGACCCTCAGAGGGTTGTCAACATAACACACATTGTTCTGCTGCAGCTCCTGCTTTAATCTTATTTAAAATTTAGGTTTCCCAGCACACAGCAACATTGCAGTAGTGACTGCAATATTTTTTGTGTGAAATACACAAAATAAAGGGCAATCATTCCACCTTTCAGAAAGCCTCATAAAGTCTCGCTGCTGCTCCTTTTCATAATACCAGTCTGTGAGCATCAGCTATGAAGCAGACCTACTTTGAGCACGTGACTGTGTCTTGCTAGCCGTGCATGTTTCCAGTGATTGGGAGAAAACATCATGCCAGGTTGTCGTTTTATTGACAGCTGGCTCAAAAACACTAAGATAAAAGAACATGGTTGTAACAAGGACCAAATCCTTCAGTAAGATATGCAAGAAAGACCTGCTGCTTTTTGCAATGGAGAGAAGGTAGTAGTAGGAGAGAATCCTAAATTTCAGCTAGCTTATAACTTTGCAGATAAATTGCAAATTGATAGTTTGAAGGATGAATCAAGCTAAGGTTTTGTGTCATCTGCTGTACTTTAAAATGTGCAACAACACAACATTTGTATTGAAAATGCTAGTGAAGGTGGTTAGCTTGGTTTAATTGCGCAAAAAGTATCTGTGTTTTGGCAATGTTCCATCATGCCTGCTGTGTGTTTAAAGGAGATGGGTAGAGAAAATTTTATGGTATGTCTGTGGGCTATCCAGACCATGTTCATTCAATTTAATGCACAAAATAATTCTCAGATAATAAAATTTCCCATTTTCTAGTTCTGCCTGCTCTGACTTCCGTTCAGACGAGCTGTTTATGTTAATGAGCTCTGTTGGTAACGCCCTCTAAAAATCTGTTGACATTAACTCCGCCCTCCAAAGCCAGCGCTTACGTTAGCATGGCTAATAATACCAGAAGCTCCATTGTACAACTGTATACCCTGAGTCAGACCCAGAGGCAGAGTCGTGGTCGCAGCTTCTTTTTTTTTTCTTCTCCCTCTCCTCCTGTTGGAGCTCTGCGCTCACTCTGCATGCTGTTACCAGAGCAGGGAGCAGCAGCGGTCAAAATACCTCAGAAACGCGAACAAATAGGCTTTAACAAGGCTTTAATAAGCTAAACAATAGAGGTACATGAGAAAACGTGTTCATAACGAACTAAAATAAATAATTAAATTGTGGTCATGCTGTTACCCACTCTCTGGTCCAACACTCTACCCATTGCCCTATTGGAAGCCCTGTTGTGAAATGAGCTGCGCATTGCAAAACAACAACCTTGACGGCTTTTTATACTGAGGAGGAGGAGCTTCACCCGGGTGAGGGGCTGAACGCAGGTTCCGGTGGGTTGTCGTACAGCTTGTGACATCACAAAATGACGGAAGTATAAAACTTGTCATTAATATACATTAAAAATACATTTACTTACAGTAAATATGCCCCTGGGTGCATTTNGTATAAAACTTGTCATTAATATACATTAAAAATACATTTACTTACAGTAAATATGCCCCTGGGTGCATTTTTTTGGTCCTAGGACTGTTTTTTAAGAAGTACATACCCAAAGTTGAGTAAAAAAAACCTTTAAAAATTGAATTTAGCATAATAGGTCCCCTTTAATGTCTTTTGGGCTCCTGCCTATATGTCCATGTCAAATTAATACTATAACTTGCAGAATTTTAATCAGTTGCACAGAGATTTGGATTGTTGATAGACTCCCTTCACATTGGGAATTCTGTGTGTGCTGTAGTTTTAAAATTTAAAGGAGAAAGGCGCACAAAGATACTGACTGCTCTAAAGTTTGGTGCTGGAAAAGTTTGACAATGTACCTTTTTGAAAATGTTTTAAAAGTGCTTTAATGTTTCTGTGGAAAAAATGTACAAACCCTGTCAGCTGTACATTAATTAAACAATGATGTGTTTTCTTCGCTTTTCAGTATTTATCTTTCATACTTTACCATTTATAAATGTTAGTTTTTTAAATAAACCTCTTAAATCAAACTGACACATGCCATTTTAAACTTCATTTCATATAAAACAGTTGAAAGAAATCCATCTGATTCAGTATTTTTATTCTCTAAGAAGCATAAAAACAAATCTGTTGAAATTTCCGTTGTTTTATCAGACCCACATTAGTGCGGACAGATAAACCAGAACACTAAAGTCGTATTAAAGTTTGGGGTCTTTTTCAGGGATCATTGAGCATGATGAGGGCTCAATGGAAGAGGAGATGTGGGAGCTGCGTCGCTCTCGACCCCGTCCATCGAAGGAATTCGCCCTGAGTGATGTCATGTATTTCTGTAAGACGGGTATGGAGAGCATTGTGGATGACCAGGTGACGCAGCGCTTCTCCTCCGAGGAGCTGGCCTCTTGGAACCTTCTGACCCGTACCAATCAGAACTTCCAGTACATCAGCCTCCGACTCACCATCATCTGGGGCCTTGGAGTGTTTGTGCGATACTGCATCCTCTTCCCTCTCAGGTCAGTCTGACATAATCTTTCCTCTCCTCTGACAACATATGGCAGGGACTTAAAGAAACACGTTTAATCAATACTTTGCTGTTAAACAAGTACTCTAAAGTTTTTCCGACAGGCTTCATGATTGTAAATTATTAAGATGGTGGACAAAACTACAAGCACATTAGTAAATCTGTGTTCCTGCAGGATTACTCTGGCCATCATCGGCCTCTCATGGCTTGTGATCGGAACTACTCTGGTGGGTTTTCTGCCTGAAAGCAGGTAAAGTAGCTTTAAAACAATCACACAAATAAAGTTTTGCTTAAGCTCAATTCAAAATTTGAAATCACCTGTGTGTGTGTTCGTGTGTGTGTCTGTTAGGCAAAAGAACTGGCTGAGTGAGCTGGTCCACCTGACCTGCTACAGGATCTGTGCCAGAGGACTGTCTGCCACCATTCGCTACCACAACAAGTCAGTCAGCTTCCACTGATTTTATTTTCTTTTTTGTCATTTTTTTCATCAGCAGTTACTTTTTCCTACAAATATCAAGAGTTCTTTAGCTGTTTTCTCACTCAGTTTAACTACCTGACAATTGCACAATATTTTTTTGGTGCCATTTGTTTTTAAAACCATTTAAAAATAGAGACTTATAAATCATTAAATGAAAGGCTCACAAACTAGTGTTGTCTCAACACACAACAGAAAAAATAAAATAAAATAAAACTTAACCTATTTTAAAGTAATCTTCAGGCACTAGTGACCAGTCATTTTTCCTTCCATCTCTCTTGTTGTATTTTCAAAGAAAGAAAAATAAAAACTAAAAATGACACAAATTTTCAAAAATAAATGAATTATTGTTGTGTACATGAACTGCACACTTTCATTGTAAATGAATGAGATGAACCGTAGGCGGTGCACTTTGGAGGCAAAGGCATTTCCAATATTACACTTTAAAAAAATCAGTGTAAACTGTGGGCTGCCGTTTGTAAAGTTACACAGTCAAAAATTACCACCAATATTTTTGTTTTACTTAGCCTTTTATAAGACAAAATGAATAGATTTATTTTTCAAAGTCAGTTTTTCACATATGATTCATTCAATTATAAATGTCATAGTTTATAAACTAAATATTTAAGTCACAAGTTAAATATTTAGCTTGTTAACTAAATATTAAATTTGTAAGTTAAATATTTAGTTTATAAACTATGACATTTATAAATGTACGAATCATATGGTGAAAAACTGACTTTGAAAAATAAATCTGTTCTTTTTTTATTATAAAAGGCTAAATAAAACAAAAAATATTGGTGGTAATTTTTGACTGTGTAACTTTACAAATGGCCCCCCACTCCATAGTAAACACAGAGGGACTCAGGAGCTTTATGAGGCTTTTTAATTTTACAGGCTTATTCATTAAGTAGTTTTTGTCAAGAAAGGGGCTGCAGGGACATGTTGGGAGAATTGATAAATATGGAGATTATAGTTTGGCTCCTTATTAGCAAAACATAAAAAATTAGGGATAGCTGACTTTTTCTTGCTTCCGAATGTGTTTTTGGTTCGGATATTTTCACTATTTCATCTAATAATTTGTGCAGAAGCTAAAGTAAATGTGCATTGTTGTATTAAACTTGAGCAAATGCGCTGAGAATCCCTTCGACCTCCTACCTCACATCTTACCCTCTGACTCTGCAGAGAGAACCGCCCCCAGAAAGGAGGAATATGTGTTGCAAATCACACCACACCGATAGATGTGGTCATTCTGGCCAACGACGGCTGCTACGCCTTGGTGAGTGTCTTCAGCAGTGGAGTGTGTCTGTGGCGCCCGAGTGTTCTGATACATTGTTATCCACAGATCGGGCAGATCCATGGAGGGTTGCTGGGGGTCCTTCAGAGGTCCATGGTGAGGTGCTGCCCCCATGTTTGGTTTGAGAGGTCAGATATAAAAGACCGGCATAAGGTGGCCAGCAGGTGAGGCTGAGATCTCGCCCAGAACAGGGCCGTAAAACCCCAGCTTCATCTGTGCACTGGTTGTGGGTTTATTTATTTTTTTAATCGTCAAGCAGTAAAACTATATTTTCTGACATACTGAGATGCAACATGACAAAAAATGAACAGTTTGACTCCACAAGAAAAAGTACAAAAAAGGATTTATAAGATGGGAGGGGTGGGGGGGGTTCTTGCTTTTGCTAAGTAAAGCAGATTGTATTTGACGTGCAGGTCTACAGTGGTGAGTGTCAGGTTTATATAACTATTTTTAAATCAGCTGAAAGCTATTTATTGTGCACCCCTAGTTGTGTAACTAGAGAAGGAGAGGAATGATGTGTGTTTGTGTGTGTGTGTGTGTGTGTCCTCTGCTGTCAGACACAGCTGCTGTGTCACACCGCTTTTAAAGAAACATCCAGCATAAGTTTAAATATTCTGTCAAACTGTCAGGAAACAGATGAAAAATCACATCCATTCCAAGCAACACATTGTTAAAGGGGCAGGAAGTAACATTAAATTAGTTAAACTTTAGATAATCGATATATATGGGATGATTAAAATATATAAAATCTACTGACTGATTTGATAAAATACCATAAACGCTTTCAACAGGTATTAAATGGGGAAAACTTCTTAAATTTATTTAGAAATGTTCATCTAATGGAGAAATGTACTGTATTTATTCATGTAATACTAGAAATTTAACTCTAAATATCATCCATAAAGTAAGTGTATGTGTGTGTGTGAGTGTGTGTGGGCGGGGGGGAGGGGGGGTATACACAGGTGATTGATGATTGGCGTTTTATGCTTTTTAATCTCAAAAAATGATGATCGTATTAAACATGAATAAATAGAGTAGTTGTACATTAATAAAAAGTCAGTCAAAATTTACTCCCATGTATAATAAAACCCCCACCCCTCCTATATTGTTGATGTTTGGGGTTAAATTTGTCATACTAAACATCTATAAATTTGAATTGATAAATGACTAGTTAACTTGCTAAAAATACAATCATTTTCAATATTTTCTCATATATAACTTAAATATTGTGTCACAGGAATAAATCATTTCTCCCTCTTTCTCATTGGGCCTCATGCAAGAACCGTTCGTACGAAGAGATTTGTTAAGTTGTGCGTACGAGTGATTTAGGAGAACTTGTGGCATTCACCAATTTTCTCATACTGTAAGATTTTCTTCAGAGATGAACAAAATTTACGAGTGGTCCAGACCTGTCGTATATTTTACGAGCAGTCAGTCTGCTGTTATCCAGACGGATTTTCTTCACTAATAACTTTATATTTCATTAGTTTAAAGATATTTTGAGTTGAAAATAAATCACACTCCATAATAATGTTGACAATAGGTTTGAATTGGAATTAGATTTTAAATGTAACTAATGAAGACAAACGACATACATTGTTTAAATTAAAATAAATTGGTTATTAATGCTGTTGTATAACACTACAATATTAATATGAAGACCTCAAACTACAAACCAACTTAAATTATGCATGAATTGAAGTTTAATTTGTCTCGGTATGAGATTTATTCAGACATATATTGTTATTTTTTTAGTCAAATTTTATTTTGCTGAGATTTATTCAGCACATCGGCTATGCTATTTTCTCCAAAGTGCCAGACATATTTTGGAGACATTTTAAAATGCTTTCTTCAAAAACCTCATCTGACACCACTTGTTTGGGTTGGAGACAGCGGGGGAGACGGTGCGCGACTGGCACGTCAATGGCTCTTTTTCTGAATAAATGAAAACTATTTAGCAGGCTTTAGCAGGTCCTTTAATTCCACAGCTGAAGCTGCTAAAAATGACATTTTCTTTTCTGGATCTCTGAGGGCAGGACTTCAATCTACAGACTTGTTCTTCTTTTTATTTTTCGCTGTCATTTTCATGAATGGACACTTTCTGGTATGTGGGGCGGGAAGCGTAGCCTTATATGGTGTTTTAGTGATGGTAATTATGCTACTTCCCTCTCCTCGTGCACAAGCACCTGAACACGAACAGGTGACATTCCTCCTGTTTACGCTGCTCATTTACGCACTTTTTCTGAAAATAGTGTTTGCTGAATCTGACATGGCATGCACGAGACCTTCATATGAACAAAAGTACGAAATTTAGGAAAAAAAATACGAAAATGTTCTTGCATGGGGCCCATTGAGCGAAGCACATAAACAGTGGTTGTTTACATACCAGAATCAGAGGAAGAAAATCTCATTTTATTTTCTTGTTAAGTGATGAAAAGAGAAATTGGATGCTATTTCATGTTCTGATAAATTCCTCCTCTGTTTTGGTTTGGAAGCAGGTTGTTTTTCAGTGACACTCGTAACTGGAAGCTTGTGCTGCTTGTCCTGGTGCGTGTCCCCTTATAATGTTTCCCCACCACAGGGCGCACCACAAAGGCTGAAAAATCCTGAAATTAGTGGTAGTAGCTATATACAGAAGGAGTCGATTTTTTAAATGCTTTTTAAAGTAAAAAAAATTAGGGTCATATTATACTCGAGACTGTATAATACATGAACAAATATGGTAAAATAAATACAGTATATTATAAATATATTGAATAGTAGAGGAAACCAAAAAGCCCCGTTTGAAGTCCAGATCAGATTTGATTGATTTAATATGTTCTATTTATATTAACTAAACTAAAGAGAGGTTATTTTTACCTCTGTTATTATAATTCAAAAGTATGCACTCCTCTCTCTGCAGGCTAAGAGATCATGTTGCAGCAAGGACCAAACTTCCCATCCTGATCTTTCCTGAAGGTTGGTATCTTCTGTCCTTCATCACATGAGGATGAATCAGATGATTTGAATGGCTGGGTGGTTTCTGTTTCTCTGTTTAACAGGAACCTGCGTCAACAATACTTCAGTTATGATGTTTAAGAAAGGAAGCTTTGAAATCGGAGCGACGATTCATCCAGTTGCTATTAAGGTATTAAAGCATTTTTGGCATTTCAAACCATCGACTGTTCATCTGGTTCTTACTGTGGTTTCACTGGCAGCTTTGTCACCAATACAGAGTTTCAGTTTGTTTTGAGAGAACCATGCCTTTGTTTACATTTGTTTTTTTCCTCTTTGTGTCTCAGTATGACCCTCGATTTGGTGATGCTTTCTGGAACAGCAGCAAATTTAACATGGTCAGCTACCTTCTGCGAATGATGACCAGCTGGGCCATAGTGGTCAACGTGTGGTATCTCCCTCCCATGACCATACAGGTACACCTCAGTTCTAGGATGAGTTGACGCAGGTGGATTTAGCTCATTTAAATAGTTGTGTTTTTCTAACGTGTGTGTGTGTGTGTGTGTGTGTTGGAAGCAGGACGGCGAGGATGCAACTCAGTTTGCAAACAGGGTGAAATCTGCCATCGCTAATCAGGGAGGACTGCTGGACCTGGACTGGTGAGAATAAATAACCCTCAACTCAACACTTAGATTAGAAAAACTATTTAATCTTACCTCAAACAAGAAAATTCAGTTTCCATTACCACCTTTTAAATCCCAGCTCAGTTCAGGAAAGCATACTTGCACCTGTAATTACTGTTAATCTCACAATTAATCACCTCAAAGACTGTTTTTTAAAATTAGTTTTGGAGCTTATTTCTTTGCACTATTTGATTTTGTCGATTGATTTTATTGTTTTATTGTGTTCACTGTTCTATTGAGATTTTATTTTTGACCTCTAGGTGACCTTGGGAGTTTTGAAAGGCGCCTATAAATAAAATGCATTCTTCTTCTTATTAAACAAAATTAAACAACAACACATTCTGCTAAGATGAGAATGAACTCCTAAAAGAAATTTGAAACGGAAATCAAATACTATGAAATTCACAACTTTGCAGCATGATCTAAGTAATTTCTACCTGCTGGGTTTATGCATTTCTTCACATTAAATGTGTGGTCTTCAGCCCTAAACAGGAGATTGTGATTTTATTGATTTTTTTTCTTGCAGGGATGGTGGACTGAAGAGAGAGAAAGTGAAGGATTCGTTGAAAGAGAAGCAGCAGAAGATGTACAGCAGAATCATAGTGGGGCAGAACGGCATCAACGCCCCAGAAGCATTACTCTGAGCCACGTGGTCAACTTCCTGTTCAGTAAGGATGATGTCAAGGAAGGGAGCAGCTATTTTTATCAGATGAAGTAAAAATCAATTTAGCTTCCCCTGAGGTGAGACCGTGTACCAGCCAGCAGGAGGCAGTGTGTGACAACACAACCATCAGCAGTCAGAACTGAACGCTGGCTTCTTCAGGCCAGATGTGTCCAGAGGCCGCAGCGCTTCACAAGACAAGCACTGCCTTTAATATTGTCAGTATTACTACAGGGACTGTTCATTGTGTGTCTGTTTTTTATTTGAGTGAATCTTCTGAGATGATGTTTTGTGTTAAGCTTATTTTTGAAGAAAAAAATAGAAATTATATTTCTTCTAGCTGCTTAAAGCAGACAACAAAAAACAAACAAAAAAATCCCACAAATGAATCTAATGTCCAAAAAATTGACATGCGTATGAATTTCTTTTTCAGCCTTTTTAACCAATTTTTTGTGGTTTTGTGTGTCGGCTTCACACACCTGTCGTCAGGGTTTTATTTAGTTTGGATTATTCCTCACCACATCGTGAGCTGAGGCTTGTGGGGAAGAGAGAAAATAGTTCAACCTATGACACGAGTGTAAACACTAAGGCTGGAGAAAGGCAGGTCTAAACCGTTGACTATAATAAAGGATTTTAAGTTAAATTATTGATTTAAACTACAACACCCCTGTGGAGCAACGTGAAGTAATTCACCCCCCACCAAAAAAAAAAAAAAATAACTGACCAGCTGCATGAAGAAAATATTTACAATTTAACACCTGAGATTGAGGACGAAGTGAAAAATCTTTCACAACAACAAAAAAGATGCATGTTGTTTTCATGTCCGATAAAAGTAAATTACAATTTCTGTCAAGAAATAAGTAAGGTGATACAGAATGTGCAATGATCCAGTTTATATCATGTAATGTTTTTTTTTATGAGAGATCCATCTGTATTTGGAAGCAAAGTGTATTTTCTTAAGTGTTTCTTTGTTCACAAATGAGAGGATTTATTGCCATAATTGAGTTGTTTGTGTCAACTTTCAAAAAGCTTTAAATATTTTTCTGTCTTAAGAAAATGGAAGAAAAAGCCATATAACCTGAAAAAGTTATTTATATAAAAGAAAATTGACAAAAAATAAAGAAAAAAGTGATCAAGAACATTGTTTTGTGCTTTATGTTACTGTTTATTCGAAGCATTTTTCATATTTGAACATGAAAAATATGAGAATCTGTGAGATTTGTCCTCTGGTCAGCAGTAAAACACAAAGAGGTGGACATGAAAAATCTCCCTTTAAGACACATTCCTGCACCAATGAATGGCAGCAAAATGTTCAATTTCTGATGTGTAATAACATTTTATTCACTGTAATTTATAATAAATATAAAGACCCTTCCTGTTTGGTTCGTAAAACGTTTTTGAAGACAGAATGAGCAAAACAAATGAATAAAAAAAATTCATGCTTTTAATTTTTTATCCAAAAGAAATCAATATTAGCTACTACAGTATATGCAGAGTTTTGTGGAAGCCCATTTCTGCCACCCTGATAAAAAAATAAATAAAACTTGTATCTCATAATTATGACTTAGCTATCATAATTATGAGATAACTAAGTCATGATTATGAGATAGTATCTCATAATTATGACGTAGCTATCTCATATTTATGAGATACAAGTTTTATTTTTTTATCAGGGTGGCGGAAATGGGCTTCCATAGCGTTTAAATTACTGAAATAGAGATGTGAAATATTCATTAAGTTAGAATTTTTGCAATTGTTTAAAAAACAGTTTTACCTACAAAATTAGCATTTTTTACATACTTTAAACATTTCCTGCACACTATCATTAAAGCTGGCAGATTCCTAATGATAGAAAACCGTCCATATTTGTGTTCTAAAACAGAAACAGCACCCTGAACGTTTTTCAAAAATGATTTACAAAAACACTGATTATTCAGAGGTGACTCTTGCGAATAGCTCTGAATAAAAAAATAAATAAAAAAGTATATGTTGGCGTCCTTGTCAGAAGGAAGCGTTGGATGAGCCAGAAGAGAGCTGCAGATCAGAGTCAGGCAGCGACATGTTTACTGTGACGGCGCTTTAATAAAGAAAGCAGAGAGTGTGAAATAGCATGGAGTTATTCTTCCACACACAAGCCAGGCTTACATCTCACAGCCTCTCCTCCTCCTTCCTCCTGCCTCCTCATCCACCCGCCTGTAATAACAATCCCACAACTTAAATTGCTTGAACAGAAATGTTTGTTCTCCCCTAACAAGATTGTGAATTATTAATAGGATCTAAAACCGATTCTATAACCCGATTGTTGAGGTGGGATTCTTGGCGAGCGATGCTCCACCACACCATTTACTGTGATGTATGTGTCTGCACATCTTTATATCCAATTTAATGTGATTCAGATAGATTTCAGAGGGACATCATAAAAGGCATTGGAGTGACCCCCCCACTGTGGACTCCATACAACGAATCCCGCATGTCCCAATATGTTGATTCGATTTGCCCAATTTTACTCTTAGCCTCGACTGATCTATACAAATGCAGTGCAGGTACACTAAGTAATACGAATATGAATACATTTCCAAATTGAATCCAAGTGAGTGTAGTCTGCGGGAGGACATCATTTAAAATCCTGCTGTGCTGGGAACTGAGCGGTCACAGGGTAAATGACCGAGGCCCCTTCTGAGACTCGCCATTAGTTGGAGTGTAATGCCTTTAAATACATTGTTCTGCCATCTATTCTGTGCTGCTGGCTGTAATGTATGTGAGGCTGAGGAGGTACAATGCAACTCCCGGAGAGGGATCGATACGGCTGCGCTCAGACGAGTCCTCGGATCTGCCCTCGCATCCACCGAGCTGCTGCTGCTTTTTAAACACTGAGGAGACAGTCGAAGCGTAGAATACAGGGAAAACAGTGCCATTAAATGAATATTTTTATTTAGTCGTGCCATAAGTTTTGCTGAAAAATAATAATTTTAGCACAAGTTAAGTATTTCTGTTGGGTAAAGCATGGCATCTATCAATTGGTTGCAGTTGGCCATTTTTGCCACTAGATGTCACCACACCCCACATGCTGGAGTTTTAAAGTTATTTTTTCAGAGCGGGGTTTCTCCAATTTATTGGGTCTAAGGACCCCTTACAGGGGTGAAAATACTCCCGGGACTCCCTCATAAACCTCGTGCTGATTTAAAATTGATTTGCTGTCATTTAAACTCCTAATTTTTGTCTTACACAAAAAAGCTATGAAGTTGATGGGAGTCAGACCATTTTCAATGAAACAACAACCAAACAGGCCCAGAAAATCATCTCAGACCCCACTCATATTCTTCATGCAGAGTACCAGTTTCTTCCTTCAGGTCGGCGTCTCAGAGTTCCTGCGTGTAGACTGAACCGCTACAAGAACTCATTTGTTCCACTTTCTATCAAAGCCATAAACAGTAACAAACAGTAACCATGAATTCTGATTTTAAGCAATGATGTTTATGATTTTACATTGTGCCGACACGTTTCCTTTATGTACTATCTCTCTTGAAATGTATTATTCTAAATATGTGTTTTATGTGACGATGTAAAGTGTCTGTGTTGTGGGTTGTTTGAGTTGTGTAGCAGTCAGGTTCTATTACAAATTTCCTTCGGGACAATAAAGTTAATCTTATCTTAATAATTATTGTGTTTTTGGTTGAGTATGTTGGTTTTACTGGTGCATTGTTCCCCTTGTGCGTTCATATAGTTTTTGTAAACGAAAAACAAAATTAACTGTTTATTATATTTTTCGAGGACCTCCAAGTTACAGCTAGCGGACCACTAGAGGTCCTGGGACCCCATTTTGGGAACCTCTGTTTTAGATGATTCAGGGCTTTTACTCTAACAAAGAAAACTTTAGGTTTCTTTTCTAAATATCTCATAGTTTTAACTTTAAATTTGTTTAAGCAATTTTTCCCTTAAACCAAAGTCAGAAACGACTATTTGCATTTGTCCTTTTTTAATCAATCGCCTCACAATCCCTTAAATTTATGTGTCGGCCCTCAGGTGTAAAAACACAATGTATAAGCTGATAAACGGTCTAGTATTCACTGAACAACACTGTTATTGAATTTGGGCAAAATATTGTAAAAATTGTTTTCAGCTACAAATAGGAAACATGTCAATGTGCTGCAACTTTGTCTTAAATTTATAGTGAATTGTTTGGAACAAATTCTCTAATATTAGAAGCTGGATGTATAAAGGGTTAAAACTGCAGCCAGACAAATAAATGAGGAGGCTGATGGTGAAGCAAACAAAAGGCAACCAATTACTCATCCTGTTATGACAAAGTACTGCTGCCATGTCAAGAAACAAAGTTAAAGAAACAGGATTGTTTTTTGTAGTTGTGCGCCAAAATGTTGAAATTAAATTTGAAGTATTATTTAAACAATAATGTTGGATAGATGGGAATGAAGTTGATTTTTCTTTGATAAAAAAAATCCAGTAGTGGCTTAGAAATCTATGCTAACTGTGCCTTTTTTTTCAATTATTAAGTGACTTTTAGGTCCAGAACATTTAGCACATAAACACAATGGTGTCTTGAATATTAGTACTTTAAAGAGATGGTGTCCCTGCTGAGAAAGTGAGGGAAACAAGGATGGACTGGAGTCTCAGAAAGTTTAATGTTTAAACTAGAAAATAAAAAACTTCTCGTTTTTTCTTCTTCTGAGAAACACTAAAGTTGTGTCGTACCACATTTCACTGTCACTGTTTTGTTTTGACAGGAGTTTGATGAGATTTTTTGTGTGTCTATTTCAGTGTGAAATAATCAGAATTAAGCTCATCCTGTTAAATCTATTTGAAATGTGGTGAAAGAGCAGTTTAAATTCAAATTAAAAGACACAGAATGAAAGATAAAAACAAAAGATGCAACACAAACACCAATGTGCATAAATATGTCTATAAAAAGACAGCAATAAATAAGGCTTATTTGCAATATGATACAAAAGGACAAAGACAATGCTACACAAAATTATATGAAAAAGACCAGAAAAAGACAAAATGAACTGTGACCCTCACCCAGAGACACAAACAGCAAAAAAAAAAGTTTGTTGTGCATGTTGTGTCCTGATACAAACCCTCCCACTGCAGCTCTGCTCTGAGCCTCAGCACCATCCACAGTCCAAACAGCACAAAGTCAAACTGACCACAGATCAGCGTGTCGCTGCAGCCTCTGACCAGAAGAGGGAAACACACGCCCAACACCTCGGATTTGCATACTCTAATGAAACAGACTGTAATTGGTCCAAATTGATTTTTTTTTATCTGCTTTGATTGAGCTACAATTGAGTCGAAAGTCCTTCAAGTGGAGCGCTGATTGATTTGTGGTTAAATTCCAGTTTGCTCCGTTTAAAAAGAAATTTATGCAGCGATTGGACGGCAGAGGAGGGCCACTGACCTCATCATCCAATCGCCTTCAGCCCTCCTGTTTGTTATCAGAGGAATCATGTACAAAGTGCCGGGTGGCTTTTACTGAATGAGAAGGTTGAGGCACATGAAAAATGTCCTCCGGCGAGGTACATGAAGGTGTGAAATTGCAGACTCCTCTTTGCCCTCAGCCCCGTGCCTCAAAAGCTATTTCTTCTTTTATTGACAGCGCGGCTGAATTTCAGCCTGATGGCTGCTGCTGACACCCCCTCCCCCCCACACGCACACACACACACACACACACACACACACACACAC